TCTCATTCCCATATTTGAAGCAGCCCAGGATATAGCAGCTGGGGACCATGTTTGTTTAAAAGCCAGAGCAAGTAGGAGGCTGCTGCTGTTTGGATCTTTCCTGGTTGTATTAAAGGTCTGTGCAAGATTTGCAGGGCTGCAAAGGAGTTCTTATTCCTTTGCTGTCACCTCCCCAGCCATTCTCATCCCTGGGTGAAGGAGCTGTGGTGGTAGAGTGGTGCTGAGGCCTCCTCTGCTCCTGTGTCCCAGCAGGACAGAGCTTCATTGGGTAGCTGCCTGTGCACCCAGAAACAAGTAGCTTGGCTCAGCTGCAGAACTTTATCTGTTGGGGACATGAGGATGTATCTATCCCATGGCTGACCCAAAGGTTGTGCTTATTTTGGTGATTTAAGAAGACACTGAGGGGCAAGGGAGACCCCATACTGCTATGGTATTAGCTGTTCAGGACTCTGTCATGTCTTTTCAGAGCAGGAAAGGCTTCCTTGGCATGGAGTGGGAGGTGTGTAGTGGAGTGTGAGTGCTTCCCTTGTGCCCTGTTGTCTCCTACACTGCTTGGGGAGGGCTTGTCTCACATCAGGTGTCTGTATACACCACTGCATGCACTATCTTGTCCCCTCTGAGCCCTCTTCCCTTATTCTGCAGAATAGTCCTAGTCAGGACCTTGTATGTAGGGCTGATTTTTCAGTATTTCACAGAAAGGTTTGGGTTGGAAGGGACCTTAAAGGTCACCTAGTCCCACCCCGCCACAGGCAGGGACACATTCCCCAGCCCAGGTTGCTCAAAGCCCTGTCCAACCTGGCCTTGAACCCTTCCATGGAGGGGGCAGCCACAGCTTCTCTGGAAAACCTGGTCCAGTGTCTCACCACCCTCACAGTAAAGTATTTCTTGGAGGATGCCACACGTGTCCCAAACTTGCCCTCCTTGCCATGCCAAGCTCTGCTTTGCTTCCTTCTCCCAGGTGTGTGGCTGGAAGTGGATTTCTTTGCAGTGGGAGGATGGTACCAGCAGAGCTAGGCTGAGCAGATGTTTCAGCTGGGGTAGGGTGAACATGCTCTTACACTGTGGGTCAGGGCAGAAGACGGCTGTAGGGTATAAACAAAGCACTTTTACAGCAGGCTTCTCTGTTGAATCAAAAGTCCCTGAAAAGGTGAAGGTGGGAACTGGCTTTTACTGCCTCTCACTGAAAGACTGAAAAGCTTGAATGTTGTACAGGTCCAGCCTCCTTAGTGGGACTGTCTGCTGTGTTCAACCCCTTTGTCCCTGTGTAACCAAAGGCTCAGGTGGTATCTGGGTCCTGTCTGACATGAGACATTGGTGCTTACTGGGATCATCGGGTGCTCTCGTGGCCTCCTCGAATAGACACAGGTAGAGGTCCTGCCATAGCTGGGCTCGGTGGGTGGCTGGAAGACAAGGGGTGTAAGGATTGTGGAGCAGAGCTGCTGTAGGATGGGTGGCCTGGAGGTGTGTCTGGAGCAGCTTGTTGTGCAGGAGAGGCCTGGGAGAAGCAGCTTTTAGGTGCTGTTCTAATTAGTGTTTTCCTTATTCTCACTCAGAAGTGTATCCCCATCTCACTGGATAACAGACAGTTCTCTGGTCTCAGGTGGCAGGTCTGGTGCATGTCTTTTGGCATTAATTTCTACAGTGGGATTATGTAGCTTTTCCTCTGTAAAGAACCTTGTGCTCGGTGCTGAGGAGGTATCTGCTCAGGTGGTCAAGGCCATCAGTGTGTCTTCAGCTGTTTGTCTAGTTGCCTTCACTTTAGCATCAACATGCTCACTGGTGTTCATTTATTTCTCCCAGTGCCACCTGATCAGGCAGGGGCTCTGGGACAGCAAAAGGCAACTTCCTGATTCCAGTACAAACAGCTCACCAGTTTTTCACCCACAAATTTAAAATTTCTGCTTTGCTGCTCAGCATAGCAGGTTGTTTTTTAAGCACTGGAAGAAAAAAAGCCCTGCTTTTAAGCCTGTTGAAACACTTTCAAGGTATTATTTTCTATTTTCTGAGACCACCTCTTATGTCTTCTTAGAATGCTTTTGAAATACTTCTGAGATTCATGATGGACGCCTTAAAAACAGCTGAATTATCCTGCACTGGGATAAACAAACTTTTATGTCTAAATTTTTAGATGGAATTTAGTATCTGCTAATGGGACTTCATCTGTTAATTGGCCTGAAATTTTCCAAAGCTGAACACAGTCTCTTGGAGAAACTGTAAAAATGCCAGCCCTGCCCTGAGCTGGTTCTGCTTGCTGTTTGGAAACCTGCTCATGCTGCAGAAAGCTGTTGTGTGCAAAACCAAAACAGGGTCTGTTGATGTTATTTCTAGTCCTCTGAGAAGATGACTTACTGGTCACATGTGCTGCTATGAGGTCATTAGGATGTCTCTCAAATACACAATTTGAGAACTGATGATGCTATTGCAGAAGTATGCTCCCTCTGCGATGTGAGACGCAAAACTCTCTCAAGTACTGTAGTTTGTAATAGCTCTGAGTGGGATCTGTTATTGTGCATACTTGGGCTCATTCCAGTGAGAAAAGGACTGTTTTCTGCTTTGCTTTATCCCTAGATTGATTAGTGAATGTATACCGTGGGATCAAGTTACATTTCAGAGGGCATCCAGCAGAGAGCCTATTTCTGTGTTGAAGTGCTGAAGGCAACAGTGAGTCTAACTGCAAGATCAGCAGTTTTCTAGCAGTGCTTTGTGCCTCCATGGCACCGTCTTTCCCCAGGGAAAGGAGCTTCTCAAATCTGTTTGAGTTGGGCCACTGCTCTTCCCAGTGCCATGGGGGAATGGGGGGCTTTCTCTAGACCCTTAATGTTGCTTCTGTGATGTGCATCTTTGATGCTTTTATTGATGTCCCCCCTGGACTCCCTGTTCCTGGATGTCGACAGGTACCTTCTGCCCCAAACTGCCCTGTGTCCTCCAAAGGAAATCGTTTTGATCACAGCTTACCCAGGGGCTTGTATCCAGTTTGGTCCCTGAGCACCATTATGCTGACAGAGCAGGCATCCTTTTTTTGGCAGGAGAATACCTTATGTTATCTGAATTGGTAACATTCTCTTGGAGTGGGGCTTCCCACGCAGGAAGAGGTCTCATGTCTTTCCACCTCCACCCTACTGCTAGTCATGTTTCTGTCCCAAACCATATACTAGCTTTAGGGATTGCCCCATCCCTCTGAGCTGATTAACACACTTAAACGTGGAAAAATTACTCAAGGGGGAGAAAAGTAAATAGTTTTCTGTTCTTGGTACAGAGGTGAGCTGTGTGGCTGAGATTGGGTACAGAGGCAGGGAGGAAGATGGGAGCAAGGTAGCATCTGACATGCACATATGACCGTATTTTAGAGCTTACAGCTGTATTTTCTAGTTGGGACTTAGTGTGGGCACAGTGTGGTTCATGTCTGCTTCCTTTTTTCTTGTGAACACCCAAAATACCTGCTGCTTCTGTTGATGCTTTGCTGTGATTCCTGCTTGAAGTCTGGTGTAGCATATGGGAGTCTGAAGAATGGGCTGAATTGCTGCTGTCCCCACTTCTCAGCCTCCTGCTGCAGAGTCCCCATGAGTGTCACTCCTGTACAACACTGGCATCCACTTCCTACCCCGGCACTGCTTCGCAGCCGTGCACTGCTGGCCCCAGGAGGATGCTTCGATGTCCGAATGGGATATCGCAGCGCTTCCTTTGCCAAGCATCCTTCTTGCAGCAGGCAGGCCAGCACTTGCGTTTCCCAACTGGCAAGTCAGCAAAGTGCTTCTGCTCTTCAGTCTCCTTCTTTGTGTTCCTTGTGCTGGTCCCCTAACTGGGGCTTTATACTGGTGACCCCAGGTGACATTCTTCCCAAATGCCAGTAGCCTTGTCACCAGGTGAGTGTGGCCCCAGGCTGCCCCACTCCAGGGCTCTCCAGTGGCCACAGCAGTAGCTTTGCAGCAGAGCCCAGCCGCGGGCAGGGGCGGCAGCCGGTGCTGGGTGTGGAAGGGCTTTGCAGGGCTGTGCAGCTCAAGAACAGCTTTGCAGCCCTGTGGCTGTGCCCTGCGGAGGTGCCTTACTGGCATGTGTGGGTGGTGCCACCTGTGACTATGTCAGCGGCCCCTGTGGCTCCATCTGCAGTGGTCCTGCTTGTCCTGCCACTATAGAGCCTTAGCAATGTCACCTGCCTGTGAGGTTCCCACTGTCACCCCGGGTAATTACCTCCCCACAAGTGCCACATTCTGGTATTGAGTTTTGCATTTTCCTTCTATTTCTATATTTTTAAGTGAAAAGGAAGTGAACGTGATGTCATGCAGCTGTCTGAAAGTTGCAGTAGTGAGCTTCACTCCTGTGGGACCCCAACATGAGGAAAACTAACAGGGGTCAGATGTTGCGATGAACATGTGTTGAGCCCCACTGTCACTGCTGGTCTCTCCCTCATCCAGGAAAGACTTGGAAAGTCCAGACAACTGAGAAGTGCCCTGCTCTGCTCTCTGGTTGAAATAATCCCTTTGGCTGGAATTGCTTAATAAATGACTAGTTCTATCTTTGCTTTTTACCTTTCCCCCATGGACAACACAGACTGGTGAAGAGTGAATGTGAGGAGCATGGCGTGGCGATTCCTTTACCGGGATTTTTCCTGTGAGCACAGGCCGCCGTGTTAAACAAGAAGGTGCAAGCTGGCTCTGTGGTGCTGTGCCGGGGCCTGGCTTGCCCCTGGGACTACATGGGCCCTGCTTCCTGAGCAGGAGAGCTGCTTTATGTTGTGGTTTTACTAAATGAATTCAAAGCTTGGCCTTCCTCCAGGCGAAGTCTGGGCCAAGTGCCAGCGGAGCAGCCCCTAGGGAGAGCACTGGAGCAAGGAGGGGCCAACAGCAGGGAAGAGCAGAGGAATCCAAGAAGGCAGATTTGCCTAGAAAACAGCTCTGTTTCCATCTGCTGGGTCAGGAGTTGCTATAGGAACTGGGATGATAGAGGCAGGGCCATCTCCTGGGCCTGTCTGTGTGTGCGGAGGGAGGGAGGAGGGAGGAGTTACTCAAGTTTGAACATATCATGTGTGCTGGTGGAAAGTTGCAAGGAATGTCGAAACTACAGCCTGGCTCAACCTATGGAGTTCAAAAGAGACATGGCAGTTGTTCCCTGTGCTCAGCAGGCCCCGGGCAAGGCAGGTAGGGTCCTTCCAGCTTAACTCTGCTTTCAGCTTGCGATCAGCTCGCCCCCCGCGCGTTTCTGGTGTTGGCTAAAGCACAAATGCCGTCGGAGACTTGCTGGAAGTGGAGGGGGTTTGTAGAGGTGGCAGTGCTGAGAGGTGAAGACTTTTCTCCCTGGGCGAGTAGGAGGGAGATGGTGGCTCTTTGTACATTGTTTTTCATCCCACGGCTGTGGGAGGGTTGACAAATCATGGATATTCCCGCAGCGCTGCATGCCCGGGGCCCTCTGGGACCTGCGGGATCTGTTGTTGGGTAGAAATGTGAAGCTGGCTGGTGTAATTCTCCTGGACAGAAGTGGTTTCTGGGGCTGTGGCTCTCCGGGAAAGCCCATGGTGTCTGATCTCTGACATGCTTGCCTGAAATGTTTCAGGGCTAAGGCTGAGTCAGATACACAAAAACTGGGGCTGGCAGCGAGTTACTTGTGGATGGTGGGAAGGTGGAGGGGGGGACATGCTCCTGCCCTGTGTGAGTTCTGTGGCTGTGCATCGCCTGTGTTCCCTCACCTCTCTTTCCGAGGAGGTGCACCGTCCCCTCCTGATGCACCTACTGCAATTTTTGTCACTGTCAAACTTTCTCAAGCTGCAATTAGCCCAAAACACAAGAGTATGAATATGCAGGAAGCTGTTCCTGAGAATCCTTGTTGTTAGGGTTAACCACGGGGCTCTCCAGTAGCAGTCCCTCCAGATAAAATAGAATTATTTTCCCTGGTAAACCCCTCGTTCCAGGTGCTGAGAACTTTCTAAAATAGCCATTTGCACTGGAGTGTTCCAGGGTCGCTCACTGCTCCTCCGGTACTTAATAGGTTTGGCTGAAATTTCATCTCCTCTTTTTGTGTGTCAGAGGATAATTTTTGCTAATAAAAAAAGGTGGGTAATGTTGTTTCTCTTCTTGAGAGGCTGCACAATAAGCTGCTGAAAACTGAAATGCGATCTCTATACACAGATGCAAAGCTTGCCAAACTGGATTAGATCACAGCCCACCTACTCAGGCACCCATCTTATCTCAGGCAGCGGCTGCTTGGCACATCACGCATGAAAGCCCAAGAGCTCGAATGCAGACAAATGTGGAATAACCTGCCCGTGTAGGAGAACTTTCTGGTCACATTAATTATTGGTTTGCTTATGCCTGGCTAGATGAAAATTTATATCCAGTGTACTCTTCTACTCTGCTAATGAAATCGCAGATGTTCTTATTATGTAGATCCACTTCCAATATTTTATTGAATTACTCCCACATTGCTCTCTGGCAGCATGTCCCAGAGGCTTAATGTGCATGGTATGCTATGGAATTTAATTTCCTCAGTTTTAATTTGTTGTTTTTTAATTTAAGTTCCTTTTCAGTATGGAGAAGGAACTAAATGGGACGCTTTTTTTTGGTCTAAGCATCATTATTTTATGTATTTCTTTTTTTCCCCTCATCTCTCCTGTGTCTTTCCTCTTTGCCTCAAACAGTCCCAGGATTTTTCTTTGGCTACCTGCCTTCTGTGTAATTGCTAAATCTTACTTATTCTCTTTGGGCTCCTGTTTTCTGTTCTGTCCTGAGAAAATTTTATCAGAATCGGCTGTTCTGTCTTTCCATAGCTGTGAAATCCTGCTAGAGCTTTTTCAGTGTTCCTGTCTTTTTCATTTGTTTATAAGCAAAACATTTGCTTTGATTGCTTGAAATGCATTGTGGTAAGCAAAGATCTTCTCTGAACTGTCTATAGTCATGTTAGGTATTTTGCTGGAGCATTTAGTTAATTGAAATTTCATCTCTGTACATGAGAAGTTAAAATTTATCTTGTAGAGTTGTTCTAGTAAATAGTAAACCCAGCAGAATATGGTTAGACCTGCCTGGAAATCCTCGCTGGAGTCTCCAGGCTTGATGTAGCAATTTCAGCTGATCCCTCAGTGTTGCCACTCACTGCTCCCATCTTTGCCAGGCACTTCATAAATTAAACTTTAAAACCACTTTGTGTAGTAAACAAAGTTTGCTCAAGCAGAATGTAACAGCTGTGTGTACCAAGGCTTTGCGTTCTTGGTTAGATGCACTGATGCACATTCTACTCGGCCTCTGAAGAAATGATACCCACCGAGGACACGACCTGGCCTGTGCCCTCTGATTCAGGCCAGTGTGCTGTGGGAGGGCAGTAACACTTTCCACTTACTGCATTTTGGTATTTGGAGTTATTTCAATCTGTGGAATGCTGTAAGTGATAATTTTTGCTTCTTTCTGATACTGGAAAAGCTTCAAGTTTTGTATCTTTATGGCTTTTCATTTATAAACATTTTTTGGTAAGACTATAGCAGAGCCAGTAGTGCTCCTCAAGCTAAGGGCAAGATCTGTGCCAGTGACAGGTGCACTGAATTTTTGTTTTATGAACGTGAAGAGACATTTTACAAAACTCATAAAATGTAGCTTTTGGTAGTATCAGCATTTCTGTGGTGGTTTGATGGAAACTAGATGGCCAGCTAAATTAGTGGATGTTCCAAAATAGTGTTTCTGGTTTGATTTTTCACTGAACCATCTCTTAGAGTTTGGCTTCTACCCTTGCAAAAAACAGCAGCTTCTCAGCTTGGTGCTGGATACTATTTGCTGCTGTATGTGACTTTGCTTCCCTTCTGGTTTTTCAGAGTCTGTCTCAGTAATCATGTTTTATCTTTTAAAGAGTTCACTAGGAGCAATTTGCAAAAAACCTTGTGGATAAGTAGCTGTTACTGTAAAGTAGGTATTTTGAAAGGTAGGCAATTAGTAAGGAAAGCTAAAGATGATTGAAAAAACATGGCAAATATATCTCAGAGCAGTAAGAAATATTTTAATATATGTATAACAAATTTAATCGCTGGTGTTTATATTGTTAAGAGGTTTAAAAAAACCCCCAACTGATTGCTAATAACAATACAGAGAAGTAAAACATTTCCTGTGTTTGGGGAGAAGCTAGATGATGTACTCTCATTTATGAGGACATCTAAATACCTTCTGTTGCACTGGTAACGAGGGAGGGTGTTAAACAAAAGATAACATTTTAAAGTCTTTGAAACTTGAGCAAGATTGGAACCTGTTTGTTTAAAACAAATTGGCAAAACAACTTTCTGAATCCTGGCTGCCGATGTGTAACAAATCTGGGAAGAGCGAAAGAGTTCCAGAAGTTTGGGAAAACACAAATGTTGTAGCAGTGTTTTAAAATAGAGTGGGGAGCACATAACCAACAGGCAGTTGAGACTAGCCTCCATCCAGAGCAAGATCTGGGGAAGCTGGTGCATTTGTAAATCGGTGTCAAATTAAAGAAAGAACATGCTCAGTGATCCGTGTGCTCTGATGGGAAGCAGATCATGTCCGAAAAGTCTTCAGATTGTGGTTTTTAATGAGATTCCTGTATCGGTTGCCAAAAGTAAGTGTGGTGACATCATATACCTGGATCCTGACTAAGTTCCCTGCTGTTCACCCAAGGCTGCTGCTCCCGGGAGGCAGAAGAGGCTCTGCTGTGGCAGCAGAGTGTGTTGGCTCCCCCTTGCCCTGGGCAGGGTCTGATGTCTGGCGTGTCCTTCATGTTCTACTAGGGTGCCTCACCACTGCTGGTGGGCACTGAACTGAGAAACACCCTCTTGAGCAGTTTTGGTGTTATCTGGTCTTTATTTGCTGTTAGTTTAACCAGTCCCTGCTCTCTTGCTGTGCTAAGGTGGCACTGTCTCAGTTTCCGTTCTGCTGATCAGTACTGTGTTGAATAAGTTGTTTTAAAACAAGTGCCACCTGATACCTCAAAAATAGTTACCAGTGGGAATTTGATCCACACAGTCCCTAAACAGAGGACCATGGAGTAGTGATCCAGCCATGCTCTGGCATCAGTATGGGATAAACTTGGTTATTCCCAAGTTTGCCCATGAAGAAGCCAAGAGTTGTAGCAAAATCTGATCAGAGCTGTCCCACTGCCTGGACAGAGCCTTGGTCTCACCAGTGGTGACTTGGGAGAAAATATTAAGTAACTTAATACTGAAATTTAGCTTCACTGAGGAAGTTGATGGAGCCAGAGTGGTTTAGTTGGGACAGGATAAGTCTTTGGGATACCAAAGAGCAGATTATCAAGACAGAAACAGGCTCTTTACTAAGATGCATAGCAGGAAGAGTGAAAGTGATTGCTGACTGAAATAACAGGAGGTCCTGCCTTGGCATAAGGAGGGGTGAAATTTTCCCTCTGTGGACAGTCAAGCAGTAGAAGGGGTTGTCCAGAGAGGTGGGGGAGTGTCTGTCCTTGAATGTTTGTAAGACCCAGCTGGGCAAAGTCCTGTGCAGGCTGCTCTGAAATTGGTGCTAACCCTGCTTGGAGCAGGAGGTGGGATTAGATACTCTCCTGAGGATCTCTTCTAGCCCAAATAATTCTATGACTCAGTAACCTGATCTCCTTTTGAATGCAAGTTTGAGTATAGTTAAGTAATAGGTTATGGCGGAGCCCCTTGAGAATGGGGAGGGAGGAAGGTGGTTTAGATTGAGTGCTCTTAATACTCCATCTGTCATCTGTGTGGTTAACATGTCATATATATGGTTGCTATGCGAGACCCTCACAGTGGAAGATTGTAGGTCTTGAGAGGACTATTGCTAACTTGTAGTTGATATGTTTTAAGGACAGTTTTAAAAAAAAGCGTAAGCAACCTCTTCAAAAGCTGAAGAGAGATGCCAGTGTAAGGAATAGAGTGAAAACATCTATTTATCACATACTCTCGGGTGCCTGTTCTGCATGGGAAGGAAGCTCTGGTAAGGGACAGTGATCACTGCTGCTTGGGCAAGAAGGATAATCAGAGCTTTTTGTTTGTGCACATCTGTTCTCCTGCCACTTCTGCCTTCCCTGAATCATCTGTCATACAGAAACAGCGTGACTGGAGCCTGGAGGCTGCTCCTGACTTGAGGGGACCTGTGTTTTGGAGGGCTTGCTGAAATGCATGAGGCTCTGCTTTCGCCTGCTGCTGGGTTTAGGGTTCCTGGGC